CACACACACACACACACACACACACACACACACACACACAAACACACACACACTGACAGGTCGTTGCAATATGCGTTTTTGCTGTCTGTTGCAGCGCTCTAGCGCTGCGCAGCAAAAACGCATAAAAATGGAAATGAAAATTTGCAAGGGGCTGTCTATGTGTGTTGTCGCTGCACGCAACAGTATGTTGTTTTTGTTGTTGTCTCACCTTGTGCTGACTTATGATGGTCTTCTCTTTTTCCTCAGTTCTGCGTTGTCTTATTAATGCTTATTAATTGGATATCGTTGACCCGAGGGAGGGGAAGGTTAACTGGTGGGACTCTTTCCAGTCGGGAAGAAGCCCAAATGATATGATCGATGGTTTTGGTTGCGTTGCGTATCAGTTACAGCTGAGCGGTGAGCTCAGCAGTCGCTTCTGTGAAATAAAATTTTTCAGCTGATAACTCTTCTTCGGCTGACAACTCTCTTCCCCTCACCAACCGCTCATTCACTCAATTTGCTATTAGTCCTTTTTCGCTTTGGCGCTACATGGTCCATCGGCCAGGAAGAATCACACGCACAACAGTCTGAATTTCACGCGAGGAAGTTCTTGAGCGCTTGTTGTAATGCGCCAGATGACTGGCCTCAGCAGCCAGTCGTTCGAAAACGTCGTTCACGAACGAATTCCTTATTGACATGGCCTTTGACGAAATGCCTGTTTCCAAATGGACCTACTTCAACACGCGGTATACCGAATAAGACCCCATCCGCCCACGTCGTTTCCTGTCACCACTGCGAGCCTTGTGCGACTTCGCAGCTTTCTTCGCTCCCTTTGCTGATCGCTTCGGCAGCATCGTTGTCGTCGTCATCGTAGAGGGCGATGGACGCTGCCATCCGGTTCTCGCGAGTACCAAGAGATGACACAAAAACTAGTAGAATATGTGCAGTGAATTCCACTCCAGTACCAACGGCAGTGATTATTGTTAGGCAGAGATCGGATTCAACTTGATACCGGCTAATCCAAGGAAGCCGGTGAGTTCGATGTTCATTAATATCAAGATTATCATGATAATACCAGCAACCCAGGGACTGCAAGGAATGAGTGAGATAACACAGAACACAGCAAGCGCGATGACACATACTGCTTGAAAAACACTGCTGCTCAAATGCAGATATTGCTCCCAAAATGTGAATACAACTCCGAACGGGAAGTTCGGCGGGCTATTGGCGGCAGATTTCTCACAGGCAGCGCGTATTTCCTTGATTATTTCGGTGACTGTCGTGTGACAGACAGACTGGTGAGATAAAATGGAATCAGGCTCTATTCAAAAAATACTTCACAACAGATTCATACTCCGAAAATGCAAGCGTGAGAATGCCAAGGAGTGTCGAAAGAGTACCATGGATAAGGGCACAAAGACACGGGCGCAAGATATCCAGTGAATCACTTGAGACATAAGTGAGAGGGCGTTCGGTGATTGTTCCTTCTACTCCTGATAACAGTGCTTGCAACTCGGAATCACTAAATTTTCGTCGACCGACCGCGCGACGAAGAGAATTTTTGGTTCTACCGATCAGACACTCAAAAGCCCACCTTTCCAAGGGACCAAGGTTGCAATGAATTTCCACTCGATTATTTGGCCACTACAAAGTTTTCAGTGCTTCCAAAGTCTTGGCTGTTAGTGCAAAATTGGATGCATTATCGGACAACATAGTACGCGATGCTCCGCGTCGACCGATGAACCTGCACAAGCAGACAATGGAATTGTTTGGTGAAACGTTATCTTTATTGTTATTATTATTCTTATTATCATTGCTATTGCTATTGTTTTATTACTGTTATCATTATTATTACTGTTACTACTATAATAAACAATAATAACCCAGGCTGGAACGCACCAGGCTCCCCAGTGCGATCATGCGTTTTTGCACTAAACTCGCAGA